AAGGTGAGCATGAAAATAACAAAGATTAACACACCTCAAAAATTACCGCATATACGGTATACAAATAAAAGAAAGTTAGACAATAATTCTAAATCATGATAGCTATAGTATGAAATATTGGTAGCAAATTAATATTGGTGAATTCAAATGGAAATTTTCTGAATTTGATAAGCTATTTAGTAGTCTCGCCCCGCCCCTTCACTACCTGCAAATGAAGGGTCTGGAGACATTCGAGCAAAAAGTGTGTGTAAAGAAGAACACATGGTTGGCTCTATGTCATGTGACAGAGGAGACCGCTTAAACAGATGCTTTGCAGCTAAGAAAAGATGAGGATATAGTCTCTTGGACATCTCTTGCAGATTTGAGAGAAGTAACTCTTCATAAAGCGCCATAGTATTTACTTTTCATTGATGACGTTTTATTGTAAACATGTGACAGTATTATTACATCATAAATGCAATGGCATCGTTGTAGTAAGCAGCACAGTAATGCTGCTCTTAAACTTTGAGAAAGAAGTCCGGGGAGCATTACAGGCTCCTTCCTTCCTTAATTCAGTCCTCATTCTTTCTCTTTTGTCTTAAAAAAACTCTTCGGTCACATGACTTCTTCTCCTACACATGGTTCAAGCAATATGATTGGGACATGAATTTCTCTGCATGAGCACACATTTTTACCGTGAGTGTCTCCAGACCCTTCATCCACAGGTAGCAAAGGGGCGGGGTGAGACTAGCCATTTAGTAATTTTTGTTTCATTTGTATACACACATGGCTAGTCGTAAATCATCAAATATAACACTAATGGTATTTTTGCACAAAATGGGTATTTTTTCATTTTTGTCTATTACAGTATTAATGTCAATACTTGTCTATCTTCATGTGTTGACTTTCTGAATATCTCCTCTAAAGTACATCCTACATCACTAATATCAGTAACATCATTATAATTCTTCATTACTAATCTCATACATGATGAATTGAGACTATATACCTATAGAAAAAAATGGACCAGATCAATAAAGGGAGGGAAGGAGAAAAATATAATAATAATAATGCATGTATTATTATTACATTATTACTTCTCCTATATGTTGTTTTAATTCTCTAACAGTCCAACCTTCTTCAACTCTCATTGGTTTAGCTGGTCCTTTACCAGTTGACACATCAACCACTGATATCATTATGTTATTAGCTATATACCATCAAACACATGTACATATAATTAGAGATATTGTCCATAAATAATAGAGTAAATGAAAGGGATTGGAAACGGAAGCGTGGGCGTGGGCAAACCTCCATTCATTTGTATTGTTGCTAAGTAAACAGAGGAGAGTTGGGATTTTTTGACCGATTTTGGAGTAAAAAACTGGGATTTTCTTGCTTTATCCTTGAATAGCTTCAAGAGAATACAATTCATGCAAACAAAACTCACACACAATATTTGCCAATATTTATGCCTTTTCATTAATATTTTTTGTTCAGTAAATCAATGCATGCGTTAGTAGCTGAGTCTCTCTTTAACTAGAAATACCATCCTTTCCCCCTCTGAGAGACTCATTTTGTTCTTGAGCTAAGAATAAGTATAAGCATTTTAAAGAGCTTGAAATCTCCTATGGAATGAGCTAACTTGCATATTGATACACTGAAGCTTGAGTGTTTTACGAAAGATAAAGTGTTTCAAAAACAGGCGACTTTGTGTACCTCTAACTGGTTGCAAAATGGCTTTTCGGAGATAAAAACCTTGCTGCGGGTAGTTCTAAAAATTCTATGTGGAATAGGCTATATATCAAAAGCAAGCGCTATCCTGGAGCAGCACAAGTTTCCTTTGAAATCCTGCCAGAGCAACTTCACCAATGGAGGAGATGGGAAATCAATCAAAACACTTATGGTTGTCACGTGGTAATCCAACCCATATTTCCTGTTGCTACACCCCGTTTCCAATCCCTTTCATTTACTCTAATATCTATGTATTGTCATGGCATAACAAGCCACACCCACCTCCATCATGATATTTATCAGATATTTCACTTTCTTCACAAGTTTCTAAGAATAATCCAAAAGGATAATACCTACTAGCCCTACCCACAATCTGTCCAATAGTTTGATGCTGAAACTAAAAATAATAATAGCATCAGCATAGATAAAACTTAATCATGTACCTCATCCAGATCAAAGGATTGCTCCATCAAATCATCAACATAATGATACTTAACTAAACGGCATCTCTCAATAGGAATATGAGGAGCTAATTTCATTAACTGATAAAGAAATGAATAAAATTAGAAAAAAAAACTAAAAAATAATAAACCTCATAAGCTTTATCCAGTACTGTGGGTAGTAGTTCATCTTTATGTACTTCAAGTATTGACTCCATAAATTCTCCAGTAACAGGATGATTACAATACAATGTGAACTAATAGAATATAGTACTAATCATTGTCTGATTTCACTTACTAAATACATTTGATACTCCATTTCATCATTCAGACTATCATACTCAATGTTCTCATTACTAGTCTCTTTATTTCTATTCTCCCCACACTGAGTCTCCACTTCATCTATTCAAATATCAACAATCAAAATGATGATACATGTACATGTATATCATCATAAAACCTTTAATATCTTTTATAATCTTCTCATTGTGTTCTCTTTCAGTAATTAGTTCCATATTCATTAATGTTATTCTTTCTTGTAATTTCTCTATTATTCTTTTATTATCTACTAATGGCTGATAGTCTGGTCTTGTCATTGCTTCAAGATGAAATTTGCAGTCATCAATTTCAAAAGACATTCCTCTTCTCACTTTGTTAGCAGCTTTAATTAATTATAATTATTAGTATAATTAATAAAACTACTCTAACCTGAATCAGTATTACTAGTAAGCGATCTCAAATACTCAAGTAACTCAACCTTCATTTTTGATAATTTGTCTGACAATTTTTTGTTTTCTTCTTTTATTTCATTAAACTGAGAGGTCAGTACAGTCAACTCTTCATAAAGTGGCTCTTCCTATTAATAATTATTATAATTAATACAAACTAGTGAGATATACCTCAACTTCTTTAATTGATTCAGTATCACTTTGAACAAATAATGATTCCTTCTAATAATTAATAAATATAATTACATTTATGTAAAATACATGTATATGACCAAATACATTAAGAGTCATGCTTAAAGTGTGGAAAGAATTTCTAACCTCAGTTACATGTACTTGAGCAGTAGATATTCT